GTACTGGATTAATGTGAGCAAATCCTCAGAAACTCATGTGAGATGGTTAATATATTCTGGTCAGTGCGATGTACAAAACTGTGGCAAGCAGCTCTCAGCAACATCAACTAGAACTGCTTGACAATGTGTATATTCATTTAAGCTCATACATTTCCTACATTATTATTGTATATATACAGTAAATTCATTTAATCACTACTGTTCACTAAAGTATTCTGTTTTATATGTATTTTGTTTTATTCATATATTTTAACTTGTGCACTAATTTAAGTCTTTTGTCTCTTTTATGTTTGTCATTTTCTTTTTAAACATTTTATATGGAATCACTGAAAAACACTAACTTTTGTGCTGATGGTAAGAACTTAAAGTTGATCTTTAATTTTCAGTTTCTTCCCTGTAGAGGGCGCTGCAACACAGTGAAGTGATGCAGTCACTTTACAAGCTGACTGTGAAATTCTGTCACTGCTGAGTTTATATAAACACTTTAAACTTGCTGTAAATATCTGACAGACATTAAATACTTTTTTATTCACCTGATCCTTTAATATCTTCCTATAACTTGCACCAGTAAATTCTGCTTCTGCAAACTTCTTGATTTTTCAAAATAAAAAGGATTTCTGCAAATGAAATTTCTCAAAGTTTAAAGAGTGTTGAAGTCTTATTTTGAGTATTGAGACTGAATTGAAAACAGAATTTGATGCACACATGAATTATACTTAAGGCACTATTATACACTAATGAGTTAGGCACATATTACACATATTATTTCTGCCAACAGATCCTATTATAGTAGTTAGCTTGTTGATAAGTGAAGTAGCCTTTAGTCTGAGAGCCACAGAGTGAATCAGCTGCAGCTCCATCATCACCATCTTCTCCTGTTACTGAGGACGTCATCAGAGAAGTTGAACAACTCAAACTGAGTTATTACTGAACATGACTTCCTGTATTAAGACCAGGGAATCAGTTTGAGAGTGACAGCAGCTTCTAATCCTGTTTTCAGTTTAACTCTGGGGCTTCCTTTTTATTGTTCATGTATGGAATTTGCCTTAAGTTTCTAAAGTTGAATTCTTCTGTGTTACAACAGACTGGACGAGCACTTGTTGGAAACTGATTCACTTTAATTGTGTGAATAAAACATGATCTTTCTCAGTGTGGGAGTCAGAGTCAGATGGCTTTCCACCTTTGTTTTATGCTCAGAGTCTAATGAAGACGTAAACAGCCGACTGCAAACTGAGAAACTACAGTAAAGCTTTGATTGAATCCACACTTTGTTCAGGTTTTATCTTATTTCTGTTCCTCACAAGCAAATATTCATCTGTTATAAAATGAGAAAAAGCTGATATTTGTGATAGTTATCGATTTATTTATTTGAAAATCAGGAGATCATTAAGCAACCAACTTGAATCTTCTTCAGTCAGAAATAAATCTTAGACCAACATGGAGATAATTTATATTTATAGAAGCTGGATTGTGGAGATTTATATCAATCAGAAGTAAGATGTGATTTTAATATACAGATTTTTGTTTTTGATGTAATATGAGAAAACAGAACAAATATTTACACATACATGATCATAATTACTAATAATGACACATTATATAAATAATAAACATGTTTGCTGATTAATTCCATGTCAAAAGAAAAAACTTATGAACAAATGTTCTCGTGTTCAGTGTGTGACCAATGTTCAACACAGCACTGACTTCTCACCAAAATCCAGATATTTCAGTAACTTTAAGTAACTCTAATCAATATTTTTATATTAACAATGGACCAAATAACAAAATGAAAATAGATCAATATCACCAATTACTGCAATAACAATCTAACTATTTTAAAAGATATATATATAAACTTCGATTAAATCCAAACTTTCTACAGGTTTTATCTTCTTGTTACAAACAATTATCTGTTAAACTATGAGAAAAGTCTGGTATTTACAAAAGAGTATGAGGGCCACACGAGTAAAAACAAAAGTGGAAGATTAAGTCAAAATATTGAGAATAAAGTCTAAATATTAGAATAAAATCTAAATATTGAGAATAAAGTCTAAATATTGAGAATAAAATCTAAATATTGAGAATAAAGTCAAAATATTAAGAATGAAATCAAAATATTGAAAATAAAATTGATGTTTCAAGATTAGAGTTGAACTTTTAAGTCTAAGAGACTTGTGATGCAGCCTGTGAGTCCTGCTGGCTGTCCTACAGAGGAGAGGACAGAGATACACAATCATAAATGACAGTAAGACTTGATAACACCAGGCGCTGCTGAAAATGGGCACACAAATAGATCTGCAACATATTCATTCCCTTATTTTTTTCTATGATTTTTCACATCAACTTCCAAAATGAATTAGAAGTATAACGTGGAAATTAACATTCCACAAGGTGGAGCTACAACAGAAGACAAAACTTAAAATCAATTGTTGTGTTAATCTACAGTTACGTTGTCATAAACAGAACAAATGTGTAGAAGCAGTTTGAGAATATACAATAGTCCAGGTTGGAGGTGGAGGAGGTGGTTGAGTGTGGAGCAGAAGGAGTGAAGGGAGTCTCAGTGTGTCTGCAGAGACTGTGTAGAAGGACAGAGCAGCAGCAGAGCAGTCCAGATACACTGATGATACTCTGTCACATCCAGAGGAACACACAGGGATGATGGTGGACTTGACATTGTGTCTGACAGTGGAGCTGATCTCAGAGCAGTTCAGACTGCAGCACTGAGAGTCATCTCCACTGGTTGTGATTCCTCTGTCAGTCACTGCTGGATGAAGCTCTGCTCTCCACTCTACCTCCCAGTAACATGGCCCAGTCAGAGCTGATGCTGCTGCTTCAACCTCTCTGGATCATCAGGACACAGCTGATCCTCCAACACAACCTCCTTCCTCACCACTCACACTCTGACTGGCTTCCAGCTGATGAGAGAAGAAGACAGACAACAGAAGTCATAAATCAGTGTTTACAGAGACTCCCTCCATCAGCACATCCAGTATAAAGACCAGCAGGGACTTCAGTCCAGTTCAGACCAGAAGGTGAGCGGGTGTGTAGCTTTCTGGCTTTCTGAGCTGAAGCTCACAGACCTGCAGACACTTTGGACATCAAGTCTGTTGACTGCAGATTTCACTGAAGTACAAAGTGGAAATACAGTGCTGAAGTCCCTGAACGCATCATTACTGCAGAAACAGAGAGACATTTACTGCCCACTGTAATGATGGATTTACTGCTGTTTGGGTTCAAAGCTGATAAAAACCACAGTCTCAGTCACATTTGAATGTTTCATCTGCTTTTGAAATCTCACAGGACAGATCTGTAAATATGGAGTCTGTTTAAAATAATATAAAACATATTTGGACTAAACAAAAGACAAATGGACAGATATATATCTGATGTTAAAGGTCCTACATGTTCATACAAAGACTGAACAATAGCTGTGATAAATGGACTTCAGCAGAGGTTCTGGTTTGTACAAAGACCACATGGTCACTAAATATAATGATGGTTCTTTGAAATAAGATCCAGTGGTTTGCAGGCTTCAGTCAGACTGATCTTAGAGCTGTGACAAAGATGAACTGATCAGTTGTTTAGTGTTGAAATGAGAGAACAAACACTTTGAGATCAGATTTGATGGTACGACAGTTTGATGAATGAGGACCACTGTCTCTGTACAGCTTAACAGCTTAACAGACTTAACAACAGTCATCTTCACATCAACTCAAACACATGATCACAACAAGCTTCTGGCTCTCTGATTGGCTGACTGTTCTCTCTCTCTCTCTGTCTTTCTGTCCAACCCTGAAGTCTGTCACCATCCTCCTCTCACAGCTTCACTGAGGAAAGCAGCAAATACTGGATCTTTGCTTTGATACTAACTGTGTTTAGTACAATACTGCTGAAACCAGCATGGACTGACTCCAACCCTCTACTGACCTCAGAGTCTCCAGTCTACAGTGTGGACTCTCCACAAGATCAGACAGCAGCTTCACTCCTGAATCCTGCAGCTTGTTGTACCTCAGGTTCAGCTCTCTCAGATGGGAGGGGTTGGACTTCAGAGCTGAGACCAGATAATCACAGCTGATCTCTGACAAACTGCAGCCCCACAATCTGAATAAAGAATAAAAGATGTAAGTTTAGAAGACAATGTTCCTGTTTGAAATCATTCAGTGTTTAATAATCTGTTCAGAGCTGAAGAAGGTTTAGAATGTACAAGTTTAGAAAATGTGAACAAAAGACATCTACAATATTTCTTTTAGGAATAGTGGAGTCATAAAATCAAATTATCTTCAGTTTAAACTATTCAGTCAGTATAAACATCATATAGCTTCATAACTATGTTGGAAACAGCAAATACTGAATATATTTGTTATTGTCTGATAGACAGAATAGATTATTCATTTATTTATTTATTGTATTTGTGTATTTTTTAGAGCAGCTATACAACATGTTGTAATTTGGTTTTCTCCTGGTAGTTTTAGATGTGAAGCTTCTCTACGAGCTGCAGGTGAAACTCGCTCACAGGTTCCTGACTAGCTGGACGCGCTCCAATACGATGTTGGCAGTAACACGACTCCAAAGATGGCAGGAAGTTAAAGGCCGAATGGACAAGATGGAGAGATAAAAACCTGAACTGTGATAGTTACTGTCCACTCATTGTGTCGGTTCAGTCAGCATGTGTGTGTGTGTGTGTGTGTCTGAAATCTAGAAATCAGCCGATTAATTCTTAAATTATGGCTAAAAAGCTATTTTACGGTCACAATGACCTTTGACCTTTGAGTCACAAGTGTCACAGATTGAGTATTTTAAAACCAATATAAATAAAGATGAAAATCAAGAGTTTAAGAGGTTCAGAGTGAATTATCCAGTGTAGATTCTTCTTGTTATATTCAGGTTTTAAATGTGGAGCTCAACATTGCTCTGCCACAGTCAATGGACTAAACCACTGAAGAAGAAAACAGACTTTAGCATTAAGATACTCAGTGTGGATCAGTATAATATCAGCCTTATGTCTGCACTTTACTGTCAGCACAACTTTCACATCATATTAATCTCAGCACAGAAGGAAAAAATGGTGTCTGACCTCAGAGTCTCCAGTCTACAGTGTGGACTCTCCAGAAAACCACACAGCAGCTTCACTCCTGAATCCTGCAGTTTGTTGTCACTCAGGTCCAGATCTCTCAGATGGGAGGGGTTGGACTTCAGAGCTGAGACCAGATAATCACAGCTGATCTCTGACAAACTGCAGCCCCACAATCTGAATAAAGAATAAAAGATGTAAGTTTAGAAGACAATGTTCCTGCTTGAAATCATTCAGTGTTTAATAATCTGTTCAGAGCTGAAGAAGGTTTAGAATGTACAAGTTTAGAAAATGTGAACAAAAGACATCTACAATCATTATTTTAGGAATAGTGGAGTCATAAAATCAAATTATCTTCAGTTTAAACTATTCAGTCAGTATAAACATTATATAGCTTCATAACAATGTTGGAAACAGCAAATAGTGAATATATTTGTTATTGTCTGATAGTTGAAATAGAAATTATTTATTTATTATATTGATCATTTCGTATTATAATGTCAAAAAAGAAAAAGCACTGATCAATAACATGCTGCTGATCTCAGTCAGGTCTGTAATTAGAGGATCAATACTATATTGATCCTTTAAACAGCTGCATTTGAAAATTTGCGTTGTTCTGTGTGTGTGTGTGTGTGTGTGTGTGTGTGTGTGTGTGTGTGTGTTCGTTCTGAAGGATCAATATCAATGATCAGACATTATTTGTGAAAACACATTGAAATCAACAGAAACCAAAGAAATAGTTCTCCTTCAATAAACTTGATCAGTTTAAAACAAATATTAGTTCAGAGGATCTTCTGTATCCAGATGTGACCATTTACCAACAATTATAAACATTCATTTACTTTAACAACTAACAGTGGACATTTTCTACAGTTTCTATAACAAACACAAGTCTTTGTGACTGCAGACTAAATTTAGTTCAACAAACATGAAAATATGAACAAAAGCAAATTTACAACTTTATGGATGTAAGTTATGTATGAACATAAATTAGGTTCAGTTGTTAATTAAATATATCAGATCTACAACAGTAACAGAGAGTCAGTGAACTGACCTCAGAGTCTCCAGTCTACAGTGTGGACTCTCCAGAAAACCACACAGCAGCTTCACTCCTGAATCCTGCAGCTTGTTGTTACTCAGCTCCAGATCTCTCAGATGGGAGGGGTTGGACTTCAGAGCTGAGACCAGATAATCACAGCTGATCTCTGACAAACTGCAGTACCTCAATCTGAATAAAGAATAAAAGATGTAAGTTCAGATCAAAAGAAGATCAATAACGTGCTGTCAGTCAGGTCTGTAATAATGATGAAATCAGACATGTTGTTACTTCCATTTTCTTCTGTTTCTTCTGATTCATAACAACCATGTGTCCTTTTATGAATAATATTAAGACAGATGTTTTCTATAGAATTCCAAAAAGGCCAATATCAAATAAATAAGAATTTATGACAGAAATAATAATTTAAGTAAAAACAAACCTCTTTAAACCAGCAGTTCTGATGTATCTCACACATTTAGACTATCCTCATCACCACTGTCATCTCCATCAACACACACTGACTGTGAGCTTCATCCTCAATCTTCTTTATAACTGGATCAAATGTGCACTGAGCAAAGAGAGCTGCATATTCTCTCTTAATCTTAAATGTAACCAAGTACCTTCCTATACAAATACAGTGTATTATTTATGCTCCTGCTAACTGGTTGAGTCAGAACACAAAGTCACACACAATACTTCAAACACCAGCATTCAGAAATATGCTTGCTGCTTGTGTGTGTGTGTGTGTGTGTTTTTACAGTGTGTTTGTGCATGCATATTAGTAGCATATTAACTCTTTATTAGTCATTATTAAGCATGTTTTAATGCCTTATTGTTACGCCCCTGTCTAGGGGGAAGGAGCGCCACATAAATGTGTGATGTAAATGAACCAATAATCCTACCCCGATTCCCAAACGAACAACTAATACAGTGTTAACAATCAAGTGATGTGATTTATTTACAAACAGGTGAAACAAAGTGCAACAAAGACTAAACAACAAACTTCAGGGTGAACCAAGGCCAAAACAACAAACAAAACAGGACTAACTTCCCTAAACAAAAATCCTTTCTAATCCCTATGCAATATAAATAAAATACAGTTACTAAACCTAACTCCCTATCCTAATGAAAAACAGGAGAAAATTAGTACAAAGAAAATGGCAGCTCACCCTTACGATACTCACTGAACACAATCATACAAAAACACTATCTACTAAGATCCTAACAATTCACGCTATCGCAAAAACACACACTCTACAACCGAGGACAGAAGGATGCTGCTGCTGAAGGTTCTGCCGGCGAGCTTCGGTGTGGTGCGGCGTTTTGAATCCCCGGCGGATGTTGCGGCTCCCTGGGAGAACCAACCAGCAGGCGACACTCCACCAGCCAAGCCCACGGCATGGACCAGTCAGCGCTGACCTACGGTAATGTCCAAATTTCTCTCTAACTCAGAATATGTTCTTCATTTTAAATTGAGGTCTTGGTCATATTTTATTATGCTTTGCTCAGTGTGGGTCAAAGTCACCAGACTGTGAACTATTACATTTGTATTCAACTTGAATTATAATCTTTTACATCTTTTACAACCTTTTACATCAACTCTCTCCTCTGTGTCTCTGTCGCTGTGTGTGTGTGTGTGTGTGTGTGTGTGTGTGTGTGTGTGTGTGTGTGTGTGTGTGTTTTGCCTCCGATCCCCAGTAAAAACACTGCACACAGATAAATTAGACAGATCAGATATACACTGTACAAGAGCAAAATACATGAACTGACCTCAGAGTCTCCAGTCTACAGTTTTTACTCTCCAGTCCAGCACACAGCAGCTTCACTCCTGAATCCTGCAGCTTGTTGTCACTCAGGTCCAGATCTCTCAGATGGGAGGGGTTGGACTTCAGAGCTGAGACCACAAATTCACAGTGAGTCTCTGAGAGTCCACAGCCAGAAAGTCTGTGATGACATAGAATATAAATTTACTAAGTACAATAAAATCTGGCATTTTATAATAAAAATAGACTTTTGTGCATTTTGCATCACAAAGCACATTAACATGAGCGGCTGTAGCTCAGCTGGTCAGTCATTGATCACAAGGTCTGTGGTTTGAAACTTGAGCTCCTCCTGTCCACAAGTGCTGTGATTTGTGTTTGTTAAACTTCATTTTAACATGATGTTCAATGAGCTGTATAATCACTATAGGTTGTAACTGCACTCATATGTATTTACCTCAGTCATGTGCTTCTTGTGTTTATTTTGTGCAGCTTTTTTCCATCTAGGGTTTCAGCTGTATACCAATACCATGTTATACTATAGTATGAAATCATACTATGTACATTTGTTTATCTATGGTATTGAATTCTGTTGTATTAGTGTTATTAAAAATATAGGAAATATATAGGAAATTATAGTAAAGCATTCAACCAAAAAACAAACAAACAAAAAGAACACATCTTTCTGTTTCATTACTGTAACTGATAATTAATAACTGTGTAATACTGTAAACCTTTAAACTGTGATTCTGAGATGGTTATTGTACCGTGAAAATCTCACTAATGCAGCCCCAGATGAATCTTATTAAGTTGCTCCAGCTGCTTTTCATCTCCCATTATATTAATTTAATGACTCCCATTGCAATAATAGTATAATAAACCTTTTCCACAGGAGCCATTTTGATATGAAACAGGAGGGTAAACACAGGTGTTACCAATGACACTAATTAAGGTTCTGTTACATTCAGGTCAAACACAGTCAGGGTGCTGCTACTGTGCATCATGGCTCACTGGAAAGGCTCTGCTACACTAAATGAACCTTCACTAGTAAACAAGCTCTCTCCTTTTCCCTCTCTCTCTCTGGTGGTATTTGAATGGACTCGTCTGTAAACTGGTTTATAAATCAAAATTATTTAGAATGAAAAAACATGGGAAAAGACATTCTTTGTTAAGAACTAAACAATATAATCTTTACTCTAATACTGACGGCTTCAACTTTACATTGATTTATAATGTTAATCACATCTGGACTTACTGAGCCTTTCTGCAGTTCCTCACAGCTGGAATCAGTCTCTGTCTTCCCCCCACTGATGTGTTGTACTTCTTCAGGTCCAACTCATCCAGAACCTCCTCTGACATCTGCAGCATGTAGGCCAGAGCTGAGCAGTGGATCTCAGAGAGTTTCTTCTCTGATCTGTTCTCTGACTTCAGGAACTCTTGGATCTCCTGATGGACTGAGTGGTCGTTCATCTCCATCAGACAGTGGAAGATGTTGATGCTTCTGTCAGGAGAGATATCATCACTGTTCATCTTCTTCAGGTTGTTGATGGCTCTCTGGATGATTTTTGGACTGTTGCCTGTCTGACCCAGCAGGCCTCCTAAGAGTCTCTGGTTGGACTCCAGAGAGAGGCCATGAAGGAAGCGAACCAACAGGTCGAGGTGGACATTTTTACTTTTGAGGGATTTCTCCATGGCTTTCCTCAGAAAGGCATCCAGGGTTGAATTAACATGTTTTTGACCCAGGAAGTCCTTAAGTACTTTGGTGTTCCTGTTGGTGTAACAGTGGAACATGTAGACTGCAGCCAGAAACTCCTGAATGCTCAGATGAACAAAGCAGTAGACTGTTTTCTGGAAGATCACACTCTCTCTTTTGAAGATCTCTGTACAAACTCCTGAGTACACCAAGGCCTCTGTGACATCAAGACCACACTGCTCCAGGTCTTCTTGGTAGAACATGATGTTTCCTTTCTCCAGCTGTTCAAACGCCAGCCTCCCCAGCTTCAGAAGAACTTCCCTGTCAGCCTCCGTCAGCTCCTGTGGACTCTTCTCATGTCCCTCATCATACTTCTGCTTCTTCCTCTTTGTCTGAACCAGCAGGAAGTGTGAGTACATGTCAGTCAGGGTCTTGGGCAGCTCTCCTCTCTGGTCTGTAGTCAACATGTGGTCCAGAACTGTAGCAGTGATCCAGCAGAAGACTGGGATTAGACACATGATGTGGAGGCTCCTGGAGGTCTTGATGTGTGAGATGATTCTGTTGGACAGATCTTCATCACTGACTCTCCTCCTGAAGTACTCCTCCTTCTGGGCGTCAGTGAAGCCTCGTACTTCTGTTACCCTGTCGACACATTCAGGAGGGATCTGATTGGCTGCTGCAGGTCTGGAAGTTATCCAGACGAGAGCTGAGGGAAGCAGATTCCCCTTGATGAGGTTTGTCAACAGCACATTGACTGAAGACTTCTGTGTGACGTCAGACACAACCTCATTGTTGTGGAAATCCAGTGAAAGTCTGCTTTCATCCAGGCCGTCAAAGATAAACAAAAGTTTACAGACAGCGAGCTGCTCTGCTGTGATCTTCTGTAATGTTGGATGGAAAACATGGAGCAGTGTGAGAAGACTGTACTGCTCATCTTTGATCAGGTTCAGCTCCCTGAACGAAAGCAGAACCACCAGACTGACATCTTGGTTTTCCAAGCCCTCTGCCCAGTCCAGAGTGAACTTCTGCACTGAGAAGGTTTTTCCAACGCCAGCGACGCCGTTCGTCAGAACCACTCTGATGTGTCTCTGTTGGTCAGGTAAGGCTTTAAAGATGTCGTGGCACTTGATTGGAGTGTCATGGAGGGTCTCCATCTTGGAAGCTGTCTCAAGCTGCCTCACCTCATGTTGGGTATTAACCTCTTCACTCTGTCCCTCTGTGATGTAGAGCTCAGTGTAGATCCTGTTGAGGAGGGTTCTACTTCCTGGTTCATCATTTCCTTCAGTCACATGTTTACATCTCGTCTTCAGACTGATCTTATGTTCATCTAAAACGTCCTGCAGACCACCACTCACTAATGAAGACAAAAAAGTTTGAGTCAAAACAAAGATGATTTGACAATCTGCTGATTATTTTCATTACCAATATAAAGATAAATATAGAAATATAAACAGAAGTAGTTTTGAGGGAACATCAGAAAATGTTATTTTTTCTCTGACTGTGTGTCGGTGTACGTGTTTGATTGACAGCAGAGGCAACAGGCTGAGCCTCAGCAGCTCATTATCTAAACTAGCCCTGCACGATATGAGGAATATCTGTGATGTGCAATAACACTGTTCAATATTACGATGACGATATGACTTGTGATAAAAATAAACAAACATTAAAGAGTTCATATTAGCTATTCAGTTCCTGTGTCAGTCTGGTTTTCATTTAATTAAAAACGGGATAAGAATTTAATATTTTAAATAAAACTACATGTTGTTTCTAGAAAAGCAACTGTAATGTTTAATTCAATTTGCCATATTTTAAGACACTTCACAAACTAAACTCAACAGGCAGCTTTTATTTTGGTAGCAATTCACTCTTAGCTGAGCTCAGCGCTGTGCTTATGTAAAACATAGAGGAGGTGGATGAGAGAAAGCGGACAGAGCAGATATCTCTTCTCCACAGTTTACATGGTTTTACTTGTTGAACAGTGCATTGATAAAGTGTTGGATTTCTACTAGCAACGCTTTTATTGCACTGACTTCCAGTAACGAGCGTAGTTGTCGTCAAGTGTCTCCACACAGAGGTGATTTTAGTTTGAGGGAGGAGACCATCTCAGGTCGGCCTGTTAATGACCGCTCGGTCAGTCAGTCACTCATGTAGCTGCGTTTTTCTGAAGCTGTGACTCATGTCACAAAAACCTCTGTCCCACATGTAAGTTAGCACAATATGCTGAAGGATTTTAGTATTAGTCACTGTGTGCCATCTGACCTCTGCAGCTCATCCAGAATGCAGCAGCTCAGCTGGTCTTCAACCTACTGAAGTTCTCCCACACTACACTGCTCCTCCACACCCTGCACTGACTACTGGTGGCTGATTGAATCTAATTTCTATTCACTGGTACTTGCCTACTGTGCTGCCAATGGTTCAATCTCATCCTACATCCAGGACAAGTAGCACTTGTTCAGTTTATTCCATGAAGTTTATATAGTTACATGATTCATGCAATTTTTGGGTTGTATCCACATGGTTGAATTAACTTATTAGAAGTCTATAAATAAACGTAATGTTGTAAAATGTAGAAGGTTACATTAAAATTTGATTTAAGATGTACAGTCTTACTTTGTACAGAACTGGTCTGACTGGCTGTCTGCAGTCCAGCTCTTGTTCTGGATCTTTCTCCACACTGGGGACAGGAGGAGTCTCCTGATGAAGCAGACTGGTCCCAGTATGAGGTGATGCACTGTCTGCAGAACCAGTGTCCACAGCTGGTAGAGACTGGATCCTTCAGGACGTCCTGACACAAAACACAGCAGGACAGCTGCTCCTCCACAGAAACATGACTCCTCTTCCTCTCTCTGTGAAGACATTTCTTTATTACTAAAATGATTTGTTGATTGTTGATGAAAAATACTGAGATTTGTCCGACACTGTCTGGAAGCTCAGATGGTCACAGAGAACATTAAAAGTGTTGTTAACTTTTCTGTTTGAATTCAGCATTCAGTCTGTAATGAAAATGATTCCTTTTATTTCAACTCTCCTGCTTTCATAAACACTGAGTGCTTTTCCTATCTGTCTGTCTTATTAAACATTTATTGATCTGCCTGTAGTTTGTTATTAATACAAACTCAACACTTCCTGCAGCTGCTTCACAATAAAAGCCTTCCATTAAAGAGAGCTGATTATGTCCTTCACTGTTCTACAGTCACTTTGGGCAGATTAGCTTGTGTTAGTTTAAACTGAGGTTAGAAGTGCTCTAAATAATTATTATAGACCAGCAGTTTACTGTAAGACACATAGCACGTAACAGTGGTGTCACAGGTTCAACTACAAACTGTTTATTTGTTTGTTTTTCATTCCTTTTATTTTTCCTGTCACTCTATATTGTCAGCTATCAAATGAAGGAATATATCCAGTTCAAATATTCTTAAAAAGAAGTCTCCAAATCTACATTTGACATTTTCTGTCCCTGTTTTTAAATCTGCAGATAACTTTTACATAAATAAATGGATGTTTGTTTCTTCATCTTTAGAAACAATATATTTAATTACACATTAGAAACAGATTCTTTCAGATAATAGTTACAAATATTTACAGCGACTTAAACATCAGAGCAAAAATATATGAATATTATCATATTATATATGAAATATAAACTCTGAAACTGAGGTTCTCAAGTTTTTTGTTAAAGAAATAAAATAAGATACATTTTAGTTTGAAACAGTGTCTGCACTAATAGTTCTGCATCATGAAAATAAATCTATTTTGTCTTCATGCTCAATGAATCATCTTCCATCAGGTCAGTTTACAGTAAAAACAGTTTCTTACTTTGTGTCTGAGGGTCCAGGTTCATTACTGAAGTCTGGATTCCAATCTTTGGACCGATCACTCTTCATAGACAGACAGCCGGACACTGGAGACTCTGCTCTCTGTCTGTTGTCCTGAACTCTGCAAACACCAAGATGGTTTTATTCACATGAATCCTTTGTCCTTTAATCTTTCCCATTCAGGAAGCTGTAAATAAACAAATTGCTGCTACTGTTGTTAAGTAGGAAGTAAAAGTTAGTCTATTAGTCTTCTTAGATCAGATTGACTGACAGCTACAGATACTAAGAGGAAGTTGGAAGGAAAAATTTCTCACAAAAAGTTTTTTTTAGCAAATACAGTTTGGTAGAAAATGTAAAATACAAACATTAAATCAACAGAGAACATACAGGTAACTGAATATAAGTGAAATTAATGAGTTAGTGTCAGTTCTCTTACTTTGTGTCTGAGGGTCCAGGTTCATTTCTGAAGTCTGGAGGATCATCTTTGGACTGATCACTCTTCATAGACAGACAGCTGGACACTGGAGACTCTGCTCTCTCCTCCTCTTCCTCCACACAAACACTCATCTTCTGGACTTCAGTCAGTCTGAGAGATAAAATATTAACAGACTGAGTTCAGAGCACAAGAAACAGGAAACAGGTTTGTTCAAGAGACACATGCAAGACTGACAGAACAAGAAGTAACACACACACACACACACACACACACACACACACACAGTACTCTGTATAGTATATAGAGTATACAGTATAATATAGAACTCCACCTGGTCACTTTCTTTAACCCTGTACTTGTTTTCTTGGGTTACAGTAGCTTTAATCTGTATTATTCAGTCAATCACAACTTTGTATCCACAGATGAATCAAACTGTTGAGTTCATTCTAACATTTCTGTCCTCTACAGTCCACAGGAAGAAAACTGACTCAGAGACTTTGACAGTAAAATAATAATAATGTTGTATTAACACTCACCCTGCCTCAGCCTTCAGTTTCCCTCCTTCTGCTCTGTCGACTCAAAATGGAGACTGAACCAACTGAATACTTTGACTTTCAGGGTTTCCTCCTGGTGTTATTAAGCAATCTGGTCAGCTCCTCCCCTCTCTATTTACAGGAACTCAAAGTGTGTGTGTGTCATTTTGTATTATAATGTAAAAGAAAAAGACTGGATCAACATGCTGCTTGATCCCAGTCAGGTCTGTAACAGAGGAATTCACATTAACCTCTTAAACAGCTGCATTTGGAAATTTTCTTTGATCTGTGTGTGTGTGTGTGTGTGTGTGTGTGTGTGTGTGTGTGTGTGTGTGTGTGTGGTGCTCACACGATAAACTGTCTAACATGATGTGTCTTATGAGCCGTCTCTCTTGGCTTGAAAAGACAATGAAAATTCTAGTTTGATCAAAATGTTGGTACTTAAATGATGTTTAAATAAAATGTTGTGTTTAAGTTACAAAGTGCTGTAAAATAAATTAAATAAATGTTTTCTTTACAGACTAAAGTTAAACAGTTATTAAATGACTTACATGAGTGCATTTAATGAATGACCTTTCACTGTTCATACCATGCTGTAATCTTGCATAAACAATAAATAAAGCCAATTCTGTGTATTTTAATAAAGGAAGTAAAGATTGTTTCAAAACACTGCAGAGACGTTAATGATCATTAACCATTAGTATAGTACACATCTAACCCCATGCATACCATTTGCATTGTAGACCAAGAACCAATGTCCTTCTGGTCCATCTTTCAGATGTTTCTGATATATATAGATATATAACGTTGTATTGTATAAAACGAGACCAAGGCAACTTACCTGGCCGCAGCTTCTTTTCTTGTTGTATCTTCCTTTCGCCCACAGTTAAAAGACCACAGTTGTGACAGTTTAACTGCTGGTTGAATGAACTGGTGATATTCCCAGCATTGCTGCAGATTTGTACACTAGAAATACTGACTGAATTTACTTTTCATCATTTTAATCAACCAGAATGAAATCCCTAACACGGTCAACACTCCAGTTCTGATTTCAAATAAGATTAAAGGAAACATACAGTCTGCAGTTTAACGCAGTGTGGAGTGAGCTCCAGATCAACTGGTGACATCTACAACATTTTTTACCATTGATCATGTCGTTGTCTACACTTTTATCTCACCAATCACAATGATATTATACACACAATGCTATCACCCCTCTTTCATCCAAATTAGACAACTGTCAAATCTTCATTTGCAGTAAGAACAGAAATTGGACAAAGTTAAAACTTAATCAGTAGAGGGTTCACACTATACAAATCCGATTCACATTCACAACTTTGTGGGATTTTGAATAAATGGGACAGAGATTATAAGATGTGATAGAATTGTGGTATTATATATAGAAAACAGTCAGTATATGTTTAATAAATTACGTTGAAGTAGAGTTGTGGTGACATTATATGAGCAGATTAACTTGTGATGCAACGTCTGTCTACCATTGATCATGTTTCATATTAAAGTTTACAGACTTTTTATCTTTATTTATATTCTGTACATGTCAGCAAAGTCTTCAACAAAATTACATATTGTAACCTGTTTTGCAAATAGGAGCAGAAGTTGGATGCCCAGCTGAACAAACTTATTCAGATCCAGAGTTGCACATGCAGCAAACATGTGGACTAAACTGCTGAATCTTGTAGACTGTTGGGATGAGTGTGGAAACGCCTAGATTTGAAATATTAAACTCGATCGAATAGTAAATACAGATAGTGTAGCATGAATGACTGTGCACTCTGCCACAGCTGACAAAGTTCTCCACACTGCTTGGAGCGTAAACTCAGACTGATTCATTTATAGGCTGGATGTAATTACACACATTAAAAACAACTATGACACAAGACCGATAACATGAGGATTTTGGATGTTTTATTGACGTTTGCAATGTTTTGTCACATACATTGCCATTCCCCATAGTCCCTGCTTTATACAGTTACCAGATTTTGTTGGAAAATGCAGGAGAACCTACTGGTTCCAGAGGAATACATAAATATTCATTATGTGGAGACGTTTTTGTGAGGAGCAGACACCAACATTATTGTTCCAGCAAAGTGTTTCTATTGCAGTGTTTTAAATGTCAAATGAATGAAGGTCCTAGAAGTAGTCAGAATCTTTATTTCCTGGTTCGGCCATAAGGTCCTCAAAGCCTCAGTATCACCAGTTAAACTGTCACACCTGTGAGACTAACAGCTACAACTGCTAGAGAAACACAGACAAGCATTGTAGCAATTAACTTAAACGTCTTAAAAACATTATTGTGTTTTAGAAAGTGTTTTATATATGTAACACGATCATCAACTTCATGTTTAATGCCCTTAATGTACAAAAAATTACAGTAATGCAGTATTTAGACAATGATATTCTGTGTTCTACATTCAACATTTCACATAAAAATGTGTAAAAAAGAAAATCACAAACATAAAAAAAATGAGACAAACGTAAATGAGAATGAACTTAATAAAATATTAATAGTTTTCAAACATTAAATTAATAGATTAAGCCTAAACATTTTGGTTTATACATTAAATAAATCAGTGTTATCTATGTTACAGTCGCTGGTAATACACTGCAACCATTATTGACCAGAGAGGGCGCTGCTGACCCCATAATTATAATGTGGTCAACATCGCCCTCTTGTGGCCAAATAACAGAACTGCAATTAAAACATTGTAAACAGAAAACAGCAGTTTCCCTACTTCAACACTGAATCTAATCCAGCTGCAGCAGTTTATCAACATTAAAACTCCTTCAGGGGAAATATGAGGAGAAAATAAAATGTCAAAGCTTCCTGTTTCACAGCTGAACTTGATATTTATGTTGATGATATTAAAAATCCCCCACTTAGACCTGACATTAAAACTGTTGTATTAACCCTCTACTGCATTAATTATTACTTAAACATGATGGAAATGTTTAATTTGTTTTTATTACTTAAAATGGTTTAAATAATGGAAATATTTGATATATTTATTTATTTGGCTTTTTTTCTAAAAACATAGTAACTACATGTTACCATTTTACAAAAAGCCAACCACATCTAAACTGATTTTTAATGATGAGAATGAAAAAGCTAATTTTCTCCAGATAGTATTTGAATTTTTCTCTGAATGAATTTTGCAGAAATATTGAACAGTTGGTTAACTTTGGGGCCCTCAGATATTCTTTTGTGTGTCACTTGTCCATGGAAAAAAGGAATGACAAACAGGATTTCATGGTCACATGATGTGATGTGTATTTATACTTTCAAAGTAAAAGAGCCTCTTTTCACAATAAAACTAAAGTACCGGTGAGTAAAAGTGAGAAACAGTCATTGTTAACATATGGCAACACTACGGTGGCTGATAGGTTTTGTGTTTGGTGTGGACGGTCTCTTGAGTCTTTAAAGGGATACGGAGCAGACGGAAGGACCAGACATGCTGCATTATTGCAACACAATATTTGAATGAGGGACACCTGTACGATGCAATCATGGACATGCTGTCAAGTTTACACAATATAAACATCAGCTTGCGGACTTTAAAAAGTAAACACAGGGTTGTACCGTTAGAAAGCCATCACCATGACTACCACTCTGGAGCGTGCAGCCACATGCATGGCTCATCCACGTATTAACCAGCGCATTGAGTCCTGGTGGTCCATATGTAGAAAGGGAAGGAAGCAAGCCACAAAGTCATTTAATAATATATATATACACACAGACAAAGCCCCGAGTTCTTCATACCGCTGGAACATTTGGACTTAACTTGCACAACATTCAAAACTGTTTTAAACCGTAAACATTGGTCACTCTGTCAGCTCTTCATCATTATCTTTTCAAAAAGGTAGTGACTTTAATGTTTGTTTTTTTGTGCAACAATATTGTTCTATTTAATGTTTGTCTGTTAGATGTTCTGTGAGTTGTTCTTGGAGGTCGTGTGAAATGTCAAATAAACGTCTCCCGATCGTGTCATTGGACAGAGGGACAGGTTTCAGTGTCTCAGCACTTTTCCGACCTATGATTGTGACTATGTCCACCGTTGTCGGAGTATTAGCTCCCCTGCTATCCTGTGAGCTTTTCGGCCCCTTGCGATGTGGCGGTGTTTGTACGAGGCTAACGGTGCTTTTTTATTTACTGATGCCTCTGTTGGAGATACTCATCGAGTTTTCTATGAAAAAAGTCCAGTGGCTTATTGACATAACTGGGGTGTATATTCCAGGTGTTTGCTTTCATGCTGTCCGTCAGAAGTTTGAAAGGACCAAACAACAGGCTGTCTTCTTCACTTTCCAGAATCAGTCTAAAAACCCCAAAGCACTCAGGTCATCGTATTTCCTGCCTTTATTAGGTTTATGCCGGTTACTGTCACTTGCTGTTCTTTCCTCTGACGTCTCCTCCGTTTTCTTTTCACCCTGTCAGAAACTTCTCTCCATCTCTCCTCCGTCAGTCCCCCTGCCTCTCACTGTTGAGACACCTCACTGCCCCCACTATTTGAGAGAAGTACTGGGATTAATGTGAGCAAATCCCCGGGAAACTCATGTGAGATGGTTAATATATTCTGGTCAGTGTGATGTACAAAACTGTGGCAAGCAGCTCCTGGCAACATCAACTAGAACTGCTTGACAATGTGTATATTCATTTAAGCTCATACATTTCCCTACATTATTATTGTATATATACAGTAAATTCATTTAATCACTACTGTTCACTAAAGTATTCTGTTTTATATGTATTTTTGTTTTATTCATATTCTTTAACTTGTGCACTAATTCTAAGTCTTTGTCTCTTAATGTTTGTAACTTTTTAAACATTTATATGGAATCACTGAAAACACTAACTTTTGTGCTGATGGTAAGAACTTAAAAGTTGATCTTTAATTTTCAGTTTCTTCTCCAGAGGGCGCTGCAACACAAGGAAGTGATGCAGCTACTTTACAAGCTGACTGTGAAATTCTGTCAAATGCTGAGTTTATATAAACACTTTAAACTTGCTGTAAATATCTGACAGACATTAAATACTTTTGGTTCACCTGA